AGGCATTACTTGGTGGCCAACTCACAGGACAGACCAGAGCAGTGATATCCAGGAGAGAAGGGAACCTTTGGTTGAGCACATCCTTCCGTGTATTGTTCCTCTCCTGTGGTCTTTAGCTGATTTTTGGTGCAAGGCAAGAGGTCAGAAAGTCTGTGAGTAGTTGACAATAGGAAGAGAAGACAGCAGAGCTATAGGCAATGTCATGGGACCGGGGACTCAAAACTTGGAGTTTGAGGGTGCTAAGGTAGTCAGGGCTTAAGGGATTAAGATCCCCAAGAGAAATCCAGAACAGTGAAGCCAGATCTAGACAGAGTTTTCCTTTTGAGGCATTTGCTGATTTATTATATTATTTATAATAAATATTATTATTTAGTAAATAAATTTATCAAAGTTGCTGGTTATAAGATTAGTATTAGTATTAGGCAAACAGCTGACAGCTCAGAGTTTTTGGAAGCCTGTGGTACTGGAAAGATAGAAATTGGGTTTCCCAGCCTGCCAAGTAGGGGTCTTAGGAAATAAACTAGGCTATCTTGTTAAGACTACAAGAGGACTTAGAAGTAGCAACAGAGGTAGTCTGAATCCTACCAAGTTTGCTGGTCAGCCATGAGTCGGCTGTTGGTGATTGGACGGAAGTGACTTGCTCTCTTGCCATTTGCTGCCTACAAGAGAGTTGTGTGAATCCTCTCTGGAAGGAGAGAACCTAACCTCTAAAATTTTTCATATGTGTCTTTCAGTAAAACATTACCAAGCATCTAAGAAACAAGAGTACAAGGAAAACAAGATAATAGACATAGACCCAGAGGTGATTAAGATACTGGGGTTTCAGAGACTTTTTAAGTAATTTTTGATTAGTATAGTCAAGAAATTAGTTGATGAGATGGAAGAGTTTCACTGGAGAATTGGAATCTATTAGATAAGTGGAAATTTGAGATTTAAAAAAAGACTTCTGAAATTCAGTGAGGGATTTTAATAGCAGATTGAAAAAAAACTGAAGAGAGAATTTGCTAGTAGGCAGGTCCATGGAAAGATCTAGACAGAATCGTTTTTTAGTAAGAAGAATGATAGAAACAGACATGAGAATAAAAGACAAATGACTCATTTTTGAAAGGGCCTAATGTGGGGGATATCAGAAAGGGATTAAGAGGGAAATGACCAGAAACAATATTAAAGAAATAAAGGCTGGGCTGGGGTTGTGGCTCAGCAGTATAGTGCTCGCTTAGCATGTGCAAGGCCCTGGGTTCAGTCCTCAGCACCACATAAAAATAAATAAATTAAATAAAGGTATTGTGTCCAACTACAACTAAAAATAAATATTTTTTAAAAAAATAAATAAGGGCTAAGAATTTTCCAAAACTAATGAAATATATCAAGCCTCAGATTTAAAAAGCACTATATGCCCCAGACTGGATAAATTAGAAGATGTTCACAGCCATGTCAGAGAAAAACTGCTGAAAACCAAAGTTAACGAGATGAATTTTTAACTTACACTATAAATAAAAGACAGATTATTTGCCTTTTCAAAGAAGCAGTGATACTGTCATATCTATAAAAATTTTATAGCTAACACTGTAGTTAGTGCTGAAATATTGTTTTCTCCCTAAGTTTGAGAACATTACAAGGTCCACCATCACCACTGCTATTCAATTTTATATGAAGATTCTAACTAATTCAGTATGGAAAGAAAAAAGAAAAAATACAGAATGTGAAACGAAGAAATAAATGGTCTTTTGTTGCATACAACCTGATGCAATATGTAGAAAATCCAAAAGAATCAATAGTTATATTATTATATTTAGTAAATAAACTTATCAAAGTTGCTGGTTATAAGATTAGTATAACAGGGCTGAGGTTGTGGCTCAGTGGTAGAGTGCTTACCTTGCATGCACAAGGCCCTGGGTTTGATCCCCAGCACCAAAAAAAAAAAAAAAAAAATCAATGTAACAAAAAACAGTTGCATATTCCACCAATAAAACCACCAACTATGTAGGAGTAAATCTATCAAAATATGTATAAGACCTCTATACAGAAAACTATCAAGACAGATTTAAAGAAATTAATGATGCTCTAAATACAAGAGGTAGACGAGTGCAATGGCACATTCCTGTAATCCCAGCAGCTTGGGAAGCTGAGTCAGGATTGAGAGTTCAAAACCAGCCTCAGCAATTTAGCAAGACCCTAAGCAATTCAAAGAGACCCTATTTCTAAATAAAATACAAAATAGGGCTGGGGATGTGGCTCAGTGGTCCAGTGCTCCTGAGTTCAATCCCTTGTACCCCCCTCCAAAAATAAGAGGTAGCCCATGTTCATGGATTAAAAGATTTAATATTGTAAAGACATTGGTTAACCCAAAATTTATCTATATATCTAACGCCATCACAAAAATAGTCTTAGGAGCATAGGAAAGAGAGAGAGAGAACTTATATAGTAAAGCAAAGGGACAGGAATAGCCTTTTTGGGATAAAAGACCCAAATATCAAATTTGAAAAACTAAAGCTATCAAGACTCATTTGGAAGCTATCGTATGGGGTTATTGCTGTTAAAACAGACAAGCTGACTTAGGGTATAGAGGCCAGGGTCAGATTCACATATGGACAGTCCCTTTATTTATGGCAAGTTCCTGTCTTTAAGTATTAATTTCCCATTTATAAAATAGACTTAATTATAGTATATACCACCCAAGATTTAAATTTTATTCATTAAAGATTTAGATATTACACTAATAGGCTAACACATTTAAGGGGTATCTGAAGTGCCCAATAAAATTTAGCTAGAATTAATTCTTAACATTGTAACTACCTCTATTGTTATAATTATTACAAATAATATTATTAACATTTTTTTTCTTGTTTTCAAATGTAATCATCTGTAACTGAGGGATGGGCAAACAGTGAATCCTGATTGGCAACAAAGAACATTTGAGGGTCACACAGAAGAGCAGCAAACAATTCTTAGTCTACCTGGAAAAAAAATAATAGAAGCAAGGGTGATAAACTTCATGACACAGTCAAAACTGACTTAGAAGCTGGAGTGGAACTTAGCCTGGCAATGATATATACTGCCACACAACACACAACTGTATGTTTCATCTCTAACAAGATGGTGGTGATAAGGATTAAATGGGATAATGAAATTAAACCTCAGTGCACAGAATGAAATCAAATGCACAGATGAAATCAAACTGAAGGCTGATTCATTTGTTGTTTGGTTGGTTGGTTGGTTGGTTAGTTGGTGGTGTTATTGCCTAATGTCACACACCTCAAATGCTCTTTGCCATACTTCCAGTAATTTGGTAAATTAAATGATATAATTTTATATCCAGTCTTCCCAGCTCAGTCTAGACTATAACATAGAACAGTACAGCTGCCCAGGGATCCTGCACACTGCACTTCAAAATTAGCATGAGGGACCTGCAGGAAGGCTGCATTCTCATGCACTCCTTCACTGAGAAAACCTCCAGTTGAGGTCCCTTTCTGGGGATGGGGAGGGAGAAGTGATGTTCTCACTGCCCTCTGCTGCTTCCCGAGTGCCACCATGTTGCCTGGCATTGGGAAATGTGCTGTCTTGCCAAAGGGAGGGTGGACTTCTTTCCCTGCCCTGAGGAACTGGGAGAGTTGGTAGGTTCTTCTCCAGAGACAAGTTAGTTTCTAAGATCAAGTAAGGAGTTTGCTTCTGCAGCTTCCTCGTCCTGCATTTCACACTGCTCATACCTCATGTCAGATGGAAGTCTGGACTTCCTCAAAGTCCAACCTTCACACTAAAGAGCTGGAGTATTAGTCCTTTTTCTTGTTCTTCTTTTTTTCTTTTTTTTTCTTTCCTTCTTCCTTTCTTTTTGAAGGAGGGGTGTTGGAAATTGAACCCAGGGCCTCATGCATGCTGAGTACACTATCACTGAGCTACACCCCCAGCTCCATTGCCCATTACTATAGTGATATACCTGAGGCTGGGTGACCTATAAAAAATAAGATTTATTACTTAGAATTATAAAAATAAATTCTTATAATTAAGAACAACAAAAAAAGAAGATTTATTTAGCTCATAGTTGTGGAGCCTGAAAGTCCAAACAGCATGGTGCTGGCTCTGGCAAAGGCTCTCTGGATATATCACATCATGGTGGACGGCATCCTAGCAGGATGTGTGCAAGAGGGAGAGTTCACATGGTGAGGCAGGAAGCCTGAGAGCACAAGGAGGGGCTGGGCTTGCTCTTTGTAAAGTTCTAGTGAGAACTAACCAGGGTCCCACGAGAACACCATCATTTCCTTCCAGAGGCAGTGGCCTCAATTACCTAGGCCCCCACCTCTTAAAGATTTTACTGTCTTTTAACATTGCCACACTGGGAACCAAGCTTCCAATGCACGAACCCTTGGGTTCACACCATGTACAAACCATAGCAGCCAGGTGCTAACCACCTGTAAGGTGTTCAGTATGTATGAGGCCTATCATAAAAGACCCATTCATATTCCTCCCCACTTCTCTGAAATCCTCAAGCATTGACTATCCCTATCAGGAACTCTGGTTCTATTCTAAAGCCTTTGCTTTAGATGTACATATCTTTATTCCAACTTGATTGTAATATGAAAGAAACTCTTGCCTCTCACTTCTAGATCTGCATGTTCTTAGTAAATGCTGATTGGCAAGATTTCCTGGAACAAAACTGATATGACAGCCCAGCTGGGAAAGGCTCTTCCATTTAAAAGTTCTGCAGTAAATTCTACCCTGGATCTTTTACAAATAACTAACCGTCTTTGAGTTCTCTCTGAATGGCTCTGAACCAGGACTGTGTAAGAGCCATGTTCTCCCATTCCTGGGGGACATTTTCATCTATCTAGCCCCTTGGCTGACGGCCAGCAGGAGGGGTCACAGTGCTGGAAGCGATTTCTGAATGAGACAGAGGACATGGGTGGAGTCCCTCAAGTCAGAACAGAAAAATGAATTGCCAAAAGAAATTTATCATCCTAATAAATGAAGCACATGATTTGCATTCCAGGTCCTTCAACTATTCTATGGGAACCCGGGCGCTTTCCCATGACAGTATTTTTATCCCTGATGGGGGAGCAGAAAGTGAGCAGACAGTTCAAGCAATGTCACAGGACAACATCCTGGGCAAAGTCAAAACTCTTCAGGTAAGACAGCTTAAGACTGGAAGGTCAGAGCCAGAGGAGGGGTCCGGCCGTGGAGGGAAGTGGACAAGTCCCTAGCTCATCCTTGAGTGATGGATTGGGAGGTTCAGGGTCGCTCCTGGTAATATTCCTTCCTGAGCCTGACTCAGTTCTCTGGAACTTTCCTGTGCCCCTATGAGACATCACCACCATACCCACCTGCACGACTTGCCCTCCCCTTTTCTCTAATTGTTCCTTAAAAAAAAAAATGGACATGAGAAGAACAAGTACCCAAGAGAATCTGCAGGGCTTGGATGGGAAAAAAAATCTCCTAACGAAATGAACCCATATTCCTGCCAATGGAATCTACATAGCACACGTTCACTGCCTGTCTCTATTGGTGGATAGTGATTGATGAGACTTTCTGCTGTTTGTAAATCTGGCCCTCCAGCCACCTTTTCTTGGAGGAACACCACAGGCTCCCTCCTGTTCATGCTGCAGGGTGGGGCAGTTTTCCTGTGTAAAAATTGACTCGGGGAGTGACTCCCTAGCAGTGAAAAGACAATGATCCTTTACCAAATGCCGTCAAAATAATGAGAATCCAGGGTAAGAAAGAAGAGCAAAAACACTGAGGGTATGGCGGTAGGTTTGCCCCAGTTCTTGATAGAATTCCCTTGCCCCCAAATACCCAAGAGCAGTGCCAAAGCAAGCATTCTCTGAGATGGAAGCCCTGGGAGGCTACCCAGATTTTGAACAGAGGGCTCTGGATTCTCATCTGTCTGTAAGTCTCCAACAATGAGTGAATGAATAAGGGACAGGAGGAGGGAAAGAGGAAAAGCTGACCTGAGTAGCTACTGATACGATGAAGCATTGTACCCAAAAGGAGATTTTGTTTTCTTGAGCTGCTCTTGTTCTTCTGAGCATGAGCTTTGTATTTTGTGACCTGTGTTTGGTCACATATTCCACACACACTCAGCCAAAGGTAGCGTGTGGTGAATGCGGAATAGCCAACACCCTGTAACCACACCCAGGCATGCCTAGATCTTTATGCCTGTGGCCACTGCTGCCCAGGGCCAGAGTCCTGCTCCCTGAGCCAGCCCAGGCCTGTCCCTCATATCCCAGCGTGCCCCAACCAGCTCCCACTCCTGGTTCTAGCTGGCCGTGCTCTTGCACCGTTCGTAGACTGATGGCAAAGCAGGCTGTCACTTCCCATAGTTGGAGAAGAAGAGAGAATGGGGATGGCCAGGGAAAACCTTGACCCTCCCCCTTCTAGTCTTTTGATTTCTAGAATATTATTTTGAATAGGTTTTGAACTCCTGGCTTATCATATTCCTTTTCTAAGACGAATGACGTGCAGAATTCAGGGTATGAAATAGCTATATTTGTAAAATATAAAAACTTTCTAGAATTTCTTGGAAAAAGACAATAGCCTGTTGTCTTCAATGATAGGTGCTCTGTAACATACCACATGCCACCACCACTGTGACAATACTTAAAATATTTAGTATATCATAAAGTTTCCATTTACATTCTTGATAAAGAGATGGAATATGAAACCTGTGGTCACCTATGTTAATATTGCTACTTTGGACAGTACTTGAGATTCATCAATACAGTATTTCTGGAGAAGCTACCAAATGCCAGAGATCATGGTAGGCATCTCCACAGATGTTGTCCAGTTTAATGTTCACGACAATCCATGAGGCAATTGTGTGGTATTGAAAATATAGAAACCTAGTGAAAAATATGTGAGTGCTTAGGATTTGTTACCATGATTTTAAATAATCTGATCTGTTTAATCAATAAAATATCGAATAACTAACTTTCCTGAAGTGACTGTTCTTTTAACGCAAGAAGAAAAACGTGAAATAAAGCAAAATAACGATTTGAGTGTTCTCATTTTGATAACATCTCCTCATACGAGGTCTGCCTAATTTTGCTTCTGCTTGCATGGAGTCACAAGCTTCCTTTCAGCTTGGTAGTGATGTTTTTGAAAATACAAAAGGCATTTGTTCTTCAAGGAGGGAAATGGGGACCGTGATCATAGCAAATGTGAGTTTGGAGTAACCTAAGATGTGACTATATCACCCCCAAAAGACTGTGCTTTATTTTTCAGTCGACTAAGCAGTATGTTCCTGGTAAGTCGTAGAAATAGTAGTAACTTTATTAACTTGCATGAATGCTTTGCATTTTTCCATGACAACATTATGCTGGTGTCGATGCTTAGTAAGCAGCATAAAAGATCGCCCCCTCGTAAACTCCAGCATGGAATGAAAGAGTTCAGCGTGTCAGAGGCATGTATGTTTCATGTCTGGAATTGTCTTTGTGTATATGTGTATGTTTATTTTTAAAGAGAGGTACGGGATGGATAACACTGTAAACGTCCTGACGAGCTGATTAGCCACCATATTAAGACATTCTTTTGAAATGAGATTTCTACTGGAATGCCATTTCAAAAAAAAAAAAAAATTTTTTTTCTCTATAGCTTAAAAAATCTGCCCAGCCCTCAAACCCTTGGAAACCCCTATAAGGGCATTTGTCTTTCTGCATTTGGCAAGGCTGCCCTCTAGTGTCCATAGCAGTCATCTCACCTAGAGCTGTCATGGTAGACATGCAGCTGTTAGCATCTCAGTACAGACTAACTGAATATAGCATAAATTAATCTGTCCTTTCCTGAATAAAGCCAGCCTATCACCTGCTAAAAATTTTGTGGCAAACTATTGAACCTTTTAAAAGAAAAACTAATTTTTTTTCTGAGTATAAAAATAATACAGCCAGGCATGGTGGTACATGCCCGTAGTTCCAGCAACGCAGGAGGCTGAGGCAGGAGGATCACAAGTTCAGGGTGAATCAGGGAGGGAACTAGGTGAAATAAAAAGTGTGTCAGGCCTTGGCCACCATCTGGCTCTGTGGCCTTGTAAAGAAGCCATTAAACTCTCTGATACTCACTTCACCCACCTTGATAAGGGGGAAGCCTGTGATGGACAATGTGAAGGGCCCTTCTGGTTCTTAAGACCTGCCCCACCTTAGGAAGTCATTGTTCACCTGCTGTTGTGCAAGGTGGCTAGATAAGTGTTAAACTTTGTGGCATTTGGACTAAATGACCTTGATACTACTTACAGTTTTCCAGCAGCATGGATTGGGAGAGTGCCTCCTTGAGATCAGACCAGGCTGTGAGGTTATGTCCCAGCCAATGAGAAGAGTCAGGGGTAATCATATTTTCAGCCTGTGGGTGATTTATACAATTACACCAGAATTTTGTCAGAGAAATATTGAATCATGGATTGTTTGGCCTAGGAGGGAAACCTTCATCGTCAGTAGCTTCTATCTCCCACTGAGCTGGATTTCACTTAAAAATACCAAAAATCATACATTTGAGCATTTTTACAACTAATGCAGCTATCAAGGACACAAAGAATAAACAGGTGCACTTCGTCACTTCTAAAGTCACTTTTAAAGAGCAGTTGTTTTTAAATTGTTGATGCTTTCTTTTTTAAAAAAAAAATCTCATTAACAATGGAAGTATCTGTAGTTTGCTCAAGAAGACAGGAACTTTATTGTTCCTCTGCTTAACTCTTACAATTATGATCTGAAGAATGGCCATGAAAAATCTGGGGAATTCTAGACACTGGCAACGAGAGAGCTACAGAATATGATGTGCTTGGCATTTCCTCACCATAGGAACAAACCTATGAATATGGATGTGCATTCCTGTAGCGTCATTCTCTGGCATTCCATATTACAACAAAATGGCCCAATATGAATGAATAAAATATGGTTCCTCTTAGCTCACATTCTGGTCTCAACAGTAACTCCATTCATAGCCCCGCAATAGACTCGGTATAGACACAAGTAATAACAACAGTGTGTATAAAGACAGCTCATGAGTATTAAAAAAAAAAAAGTGAGGAGAGCAGTAGTTTTGTTTCTGAACCTAAGACCACCTCATCTTATTGAGGTGACTGCTCATTGATGTCATAGTTCCTCTCGTGACAATGAGTAGCACACAAATTAGAGTAACAGAAAAGCCATGTTTATCCAAATATTCAATTCAAGTGACACCTGAGATTGCCCAGTAGGTTTTGGCAGTGACCTTTTAATTGTCAATACATTTCACAAAATGTCACAACTGCCCAGTCTCCTTTGAGGAGGCTGAAGGAGACCTCTGCAGGAGGAACTGCAGGGAGGACATGTGGGTGGGAGCTTCTGGTCATTGGGTGTGTGAGGATCGATGGCCATAGCCCTGGACCCTAAGTCCTGCCCTGACCTCTAGTGCCTGACAGTTGCAGAACATGTCTGTGAGGACAGTCCTTTTTCTGGACACAGAGACTAGCCCTACTCAGATCCCTGCTGCCATTCCTCTCCTGCTTCTCAGTCCCCACCCCCAAGGTCCCAAACCACTAGCCTGAATCTGTTTTCTCTGGGGGGATTTCAAATCTGTTCCTGTACCAAGAGGCACATTTTCATTTCCAAAGGCAACAGCAGTGTTTTTCTTTTGCCAGGATGAACATATCTGTGATAGAAATCAACCTTTTCACACATACACACACACACACACACACACACACACACAGTCATTCCCTCCTGTCCTCTTCCCCTTCCTCCTTTTCTCTCTCTGGGCCCTTCTCTCTCTTCTTCCCTAGGCATTTCCTCTGTTCCCAGCACCTTTCCCTCAACCCACCTCTTGAATTCTCTACCTCATTTGTGAACATGCCCCCGGTACTGTATGGTCCCTGTTTTGTTTTGTTTTTTTTTTAAGTTATAGGTGGAAACAATATCTTTATTTTATTTTTATGTGGTGCTGAGGATCCAACCAAGTACCTCACGCATGCGCTCTACCTTTGAGCCACAACCCCAGCCCCTTGTCCCTGTTCTTATTCATTTATTTGTTTCTTTTCATGTTCTCTTTCCTGTTCCCTTTGTGGCCACAATAGTCATCCCAACTTTGCAGTTATTTCAGTCTAGAATGTGATTACATTTTGCCGCATTTTTTTTTGCCTCCTAAGCATCATAATGGGCCAACATGAGTATTCTAAAAAGTAAAATATCAGCATATTTATTCACAATTAAATGGCATCAGAGTATTAGGCCAAGAATTACAATAAAGAATTATTCTTTCCATTATAAGTACAAGAAATAACCTCATCTCAGTTAGTCTGTATATTACTGTTAGGAGGAGGAATAAATTCTAGTGTTTTGTAGCACACTGTAGAGTAACTAGAGTTAACTATCATTTACTGCATGTTTCAAAATAGCTAGAAAAGGGAATTTTGAATATTCCTAACAAAGAAACGATAAATGTTTGAGATGATGCATATATCAATTATCCTGATTTAGTTATTACACATTGTACTCATGTATTGAAATATTAGTTAACAATTTATTGTGTATTTCAAAATAGCTAGAAAATAGAATTTTGTTCTCAACACAAAGTAAGTATAAGTGTTTGGATATGCCAGCTACACTGACCTAATCATCCCACCCTGTATACATGTATTAAAGTATCACACTCCATAAGAACAGACAATTAGTATATGTCAATTAAACAAAGAAACACGCGCATCTCAGTAATTGGGAGCATTGGCAATCAGCAGACCCTGCTCACAGGGTTTAGGGTCACAGGGTTTAGGACAGCCCCTAGCTCTTGGCCAACACTACTAGGAAGGCCAGCCTGGGAGGACACAGGAACCTGCCCCAGTCTTCTGCCCCTGGGCAGCAGAACCCAGCTGGCTGCTGGCTTTGCAAACCCCTGTCCTCTTGTCTGACTCCATCGCTGTCCTCACGTGCCTGCTTACTGACCTGCTTAGGGTAGACACTAACTGCCGTTTCCTGCTAGGCTTGTTTTTGGAAAACACCTTTTTTTCAACCTTCTCCTCCCCGCAACCCCTTCAGGCTGCTGAAGCTGCCCGTCCCTGGCTGAACTCAGGCTTTTGATATGTGCTCCTTCCCCTTGGAGCTGGGGAGCCCTGCTCAGGCTGAAACACCTGCGGGCCAGATCCCCGCCCTTGCCTTGCCGCTCCTGCCTGGGCATGCGGGGTTCCTTGGGCGCGCGGGGAGGGGAGGCTGGGGCCCGTCTCTGTCTGTGTGTTCCTGCCCACTAGGCGAGGCTGGGGGTGGGGGAGCTGGGCGAACGTGGGTGGATTTGGTACCATTGAGTTCTAAGGGAGAGAGGGCAATTCCCTCAAGGGAACTTCAGACAAATATTTTAAATGCTGCATCATCTCTTTATATAACTGCCCCTACAAGCAGGAAGGACGTTGTCAAATTTATGAGGGCTGCTGAAGTGCAATGAAAATAACCTTAATGTGATTTAAGAAGACTCGGGTTCTGATTCCTTTGGGGCTGCTTATTCTTCCCATAAGCTTGGGCCAGTTGCCTCTCCCTGTGGGACATCTGGCATTTATTTATTTATTTACTTACTTACTTATTTATTAATTAAGTGAAGAGTTTTGAATAGGTGATTGCTAAGGTTCTTTGCTGGTCTGTGAGATTAAACATTAGCCAGATTAAAGATAAATATCAGAGAATTTTTTTGAGGCATATAAGGATTGTGAAACTCAAGAACCTACTATCTAGAGCAGTGGTTCTCAGCTGGGGGCAATTTTACCCCCAACTCCAGGGACACTGGGAAACATCTAGAGACTTTTTTTTCTTTTCTTTTCTAATCTGGCCCTTGTCTAATTCCAAATACAATTTGTCTTCCCTTCTCCTTGTAACTACCACCTACTAGTGGTCCACCCCTCCTTGACCCTTTTCTCCTGGTTCCTTCAGTCTTGGTCTCTCTCCTATTTCCTGATGTGTAAATACTCCAAGGCAAAGAAGTCTGGACCTTTCCCATCCCTTATATGCTCCCGACATTGATCAGGGAAAGACCTGCTGGCCCAGGGACCTTCTTCACCATGGCTGTGACCCACCATGACCTAAGCATGAGGTCTGGCGTGGGGGTTGCTAGCTGGGTGCCAGAGGTGAAGATGGTGGAAGAATAATTTTCACAGGGAACGTGTCCAGAAGAGGCTGGAAAGTTCCCATGTTGTACCTACTTTAAGAGTTTTCATTTCCCCCAGAAGTTTCTACATTTCATGTAACTGTTACCTGCACAATTTTTGTACTTTTAAAAAAGACTTTCTAGATGTATAGACAAGTCCAAAATCAAAAACATATTTCAACGTTTGGTTCAGAAATATGGGACCTATACCCTAGAAAACGTTGGCATTTCCATGAAAGAGGTGGCTGGATGAAAAAAGTCCCGGTTTGAAGACGGGAGTCAGAGGGACTGGAAGACACGCATGTACTCTAGGACTGCCGGCGGTTCCCTGGCATGGCAGTGGGTCTAGGAAGCAGCTGGGCTCAGGCGTATGCCTCAGCGCTTCCTAGATATGCTGGGGAACCTGGTTGTGGTTTTGGGGACTGCTTCACTGCTTCAGAATGTCTTTCTTTTGTTCCTCTCCAGCGACAATTGGGCAAGAATATCAAGTTTGGGCAGCGGCCACCCAATGCCATTCCCATGAAGAAGGCAGGCAGTGGAGAGGCCAGCTCAGAAGAGGACCTGTTCCTGGCCAGTCCCATGGAAATTGTGGCTCAGCAGGACATCATCCTCTCAGACGCTGAGAACAAAGTAAGTCTCTGCTGGGGAATGACTTGATGGCTCCCAAGCCACCGTTCACAGGACTTTAGGCAGTGAACGCAGGCTCCTCGTGACCCTGCAGTCTGCGGTGGGGAGAACAAGATGGGGGAAGCTTCTCTGATAAGTAGCCCAGGGGTGGAGGGTACTTCCTGGTGTACCCTTCAAGACTCAGGTTGTGCCCACCTCTTCTGGGAACACTGCCCTGGCCTCACTTCTGAGTGTATTTTCTCTCTACCTTTGCTGTGCGTCTTCACCCCTGTTTCCACACCCATATCTCCCATCCATGTCTGTCCATGGAACTGTTCTCTCTCCATCTCAAAACACTGACTTTCTTGAGGATAAAGTGGGTCTCACCCATCTGGGTGTCCCCAAGATCTTAGCTAGTGCCTGCTTAGGTGCACTGTATAATGACTTGTCAGGTTACGGTGATTTCAAGGGAAATGAAAAAAGAAAACTATAGGGGTTTAGTGAGCTATAATCCTTCAACAGGCCAGCTTGAAGTCACCCTAGTGTAGAAAGTCATATTCCAGTGCTGACTTATCTAAATTTGGTCTGTTGACACTTTAAGGTAATGCTTTGAGCATGTCCTGAATTGAGAGTTTTTCCACCAGCAAAAAGGATGACCTTAAAAAACTTATGGAAAAAGAAGCAAAAGTCCTACCAGTAACCAGAATTGGAAATTCTTCAATGAGGGATGGGACTTCATATAGTTTTTTTAAAAAGGAAAAAAACATTTTTTTCAGTTCTGTTTATCAAGGAACATGAAGTTGTGGCAGATGTTATTAAAATTGGCATCTCAGAAGAAATCATGCCTTTTATCAGCTAATATATGATGAGAATATTAAGAAAGATGCAAGTGATTTGCAGAGGAAAGCAAGGAAGGGAAGTGAAGGCTGGTCCACCCCATTGTCCATCTTTGCCTGGCCCTGATGACCCCCGGCACTCACATGTTGACACCCTTTGGGGTGGTGGGTGAAGCAGAGATGGATCCTTCCCTTGCAGTAGGTCTGAGATTGCTCTCCCAGCCTCTCCAATGCCAGGGTCACAGCAACAGCCACCACCTTGAGGCAGAGATTTTGTAAGGACTGAAGCAGCTTCTTCTATTATCAATGACCTCATAAGTGCAAGGTGCCGTGGCCTTAGAAGAAGAAAGGATCTTTGTTCAGCAGACCTTGTCTTAGATGTGGGTGTTACAGAGATGGGCAAGATTTGCCCAGGAGCTGCTTCTAAAGTAGTTTATACCCTAATGAGAAGGGAGTCACACAAGTCAACAAATAGATAAATATAATCATTTCAGATCAGGAAAAGTGTTGGCCACACAGAAAATAAACAGAGTAACGCAAAAGTGAATAACTTGGTGGGGGAGAGGATACATCTCTGCATGTGGAGTTGAGAGCAGACCTGGCAATGATGAGATGGAAAACTATCCCAGCAGAGAGGCCCATGACAGGCCAAAAAAAGTCATCCCCAAAAGACGACCAGGAAGCAGGCCAATATGGCCCAACTGGGGTGGAAGGGAGGAGGTGGTGACGCCAGGTGGTGTAGACCATGGGGAAATGGTGAATTCTGTTTTGAAGGCAATAGGAAACCTCTGAGTAATGTTAAGCAGAGTAGTGTTTTAATCAGGTTTGTGTTTTCTAAAGATTTTCCTAAGTGTGATGTGAAGAATGGACTTAGGTACAGCAAACTGGAAAGGAAGATCAAATCCTTTTGTATAAAACAGCACCACAAGACCTAGCAGGTCTACTAGTCTGAAACATGCAGACCACCTACTGGGGTGCTCTCAGAGGGTGCCTAGGTCACGGGGCGTGAGTCTTCAGCCTTTCCCTTCTCCTTCCCTTCTGTGATTTTGTTCCCCTCCCTGGGCTTTCACCTTCTCAGCCCTGCCCTTTGCATCCTTGCTTAGAGGGGAGAGATCTGACAGGTGAAGGGGGGAAGAGAGCCAGCAAAGGCGAGAGCTCCAAGATTGGAGGCCATGTGTGTAACGCAGCTCCGTTTCCCAGGTAAGGTGGCCGATGGGCCGCCCAGAGCTTCTCTCAGCCAGTGGACAGAAACACACAGCTGAGGTGGGGACTACCCAGGTGGGAGTGCATTGAACTCGGGAAGAGGATGGTGGCCCCTCTGTACCCCAGGTAGTCATTGTCAGCAAAGTCCTCACCGTGACTCCTGCTGGTTCTTTAAGGCCAGCTGACCCCTGTGTGGGAGGAGGCAGCCCTGCCCAGGCCCCAGCCAGTGTCTAGTTATTTGCCCAGAACTTCCTGTTCCTGCGTTTGACTCAAGCGCTCTCTCTACTGTTCCAGTCCAGTGATACGCCAAGTTCTCCGAGTCCTCTGAATCTCCCTGGAGCTGGAAGTGAGATGGAAGAGAAGGTAATAGGATTTGAACTTATTTGTTGAGCTTCCTTACTTGAACTTCCTTTTTTCCTTCCTACCCCCCTCCCCACAAATATCCTGCTTCATTTCCATTCCTAGATGTCGCCTTCGTATGTTACTTTAAATGTCTTCAACATGCAACTAGTGGTAGAGGCTGGTGCATCTGTTTCCATGGCAATGCAACTGCTGGAACTGAACCCTGCTCTGAAAAATAGCCACACTCCCAGCATGCTCTGGGGTCTTACAAGTTGGTCGTCTTTCTAAATGTATCACATCCTTCAAGACACTGTTAATCTGTTGAAAAAGCTATTCTATAATAGGTGGAGATACCCAAGTCTGTAAGGAACGGTCCCCTTAGAGATGTGAGAAACAAAAGAGTTGACCTTATCCTTTCTCTACTTTTACATAATATTTTTTAAATGTTTTGGTGTCTCTTTTAAACTTAGAGCTTTACCTACAGGAGTCTAGGGAGTCTAGGACCGTTTTCCTGAGCACCTTTCTGTAGGAGCAGATCTGCTCTGACAAGGACTTTTCACCTGCACAGGGAACCAGGCCACTTCCCAAGATCTGGCAGGTGGAACCCTGAGCAGGTCAGTTCCCATAAAAGGAATGGCTCAAGACGATGCCACCACCAAGACAATGACGAAGCCCAGCTGGGATAACTAGATACAGAGCATGGCACTTCAATCTCAACTCCAAGTGCTTATCTCTGTCTTCAATCTGTCACTTTGGCTCCGACTGCTTTTCCTCATGCATCTCATAGGGGATGGAAATAAATGTTTAATTTGTCTCTTTTCAACAATAGCTCAGAATTTGATACCTATTATAAAAAGATAGCCATAAATAAATGAAAGCTAAAAGGCCAAAGTACTGGAATTATTTTTCAGTACTTCTAGTCATAAATTTATAATGCTCTGGGCTTCCATTTTGCTCCCGGTGCTAGCTTGGTCTTTTATCCTTTGTGCATAAATATGGAGGGTAATTGCCAAAAGCAGGCCCTTCAGCTAAACCTCATCGACTCTGCACTGCCAGCACAAGCACAAACACATGAACCCTGTCCCTTCCAGTCCAGGGCTGCCCTTGTGTGTGCAAACTGTCGACTGTGGCAGATGGGGCTGTGAGCACCCCTTGCTGCAAGTTGGCATTGTGTACCCGGGAGTCCCTTTCTCACCATCTAAATTCTCTGCAGTTACAGGCCTGGCTTCCTACCTTCTCATTTAGTGTGGCTTCTTGTTCGGGTGCCACGGCAGGTCGGATCTTTCTAAATGTGTAATCTGAGACAGTGGGGGTTTTTTAGTGATTGCGTTTGTATTCCAGAACTGCAGTCTGTTCTGCAGTTCATCCTTTGAGGAACTGCACCTGCCCAAGAGACACATTTTCACCACTTTTTTTTTCCCCACCAGAAACCTTTTTATTTATTTATTTCTTTATTTGGAACTGGGTTTTGAGCCCAGAGGCCCTTTACCATTGAGCTACGTTGAGCCCGGTCCTTTTTATTTTTTATTTTGAGACAGAGTCTTGCTAAGTTGCTTAGGACCTTGCTAAATTTCGGAGACTGGCCTTGAACATGGGAATATGGGCATGGACCACCATACCTAATTTAGGGCCCTTTTTCTTTTAGCTTTTTGGTACACTCAGTACTCTGTGACTTTGGAATGATTATGTCAAAACATTTTTGCCAAGTCCTAGATGGGAACATTATAACTTTGCCTTCATTCCTTGAACAAGTATGTACTGATCACTTACCAAATGAGATTTTCTGCTTGAGCAGAAAAAGGACTGAGACAGAGATGAAAAAGATTCCTTCCTGCCTTGAAAGGACTGAAATCCTACATAGAAGTTGAGCATGTACACAGTGTCTGAGAGTTAAAGAGTTCTTAGCACAGAGGTGGTCTCGTCCAGGAACCAGCAACCACTAATCATTTTAGGCTTGTGATGTTAAGCCACACAGCATGACTCTCCTTTGTGCTGTCCTTTGTAGCACAAAAGCAGTCAAAGACAGTGGGCATGCCGGCTGTGGACCAGTAAAATTCTGTTTATCAAAAATAGGCGGCAGGTGCTTTGGCTCTCCAAAGCATTGATATGGTCATAACCCATATCAATCAGAGTAGGAAAATTAGTCATATAAAGATTAAATGACCCTCACTAGTGAATACAGTCACCATTGGCAGAACAAATAGCATCCTGTCCTTTGATTCCAAAACTAGGGCTCATTTCACTATACCCCAGCCCTCCTGCTTGCCAGTGTTTCCTGGGCCAAGCTGGGCAGACACAGGATAGAGTGCTACTGTCCTTGGATTCCCTGCAAGGCATTCTGATCCAGACTGACCTTATATCTTAATCTGTGCTGTAGGTTGCTCCAGTTAAACCGTCTCGGCCAAAAAGACACTTCTCTTCTGCTGGCACCATTGAAAGTGTCAACCTCGATGCCATCCCCCCGGCCATGGCTCGCCTGGACAACAGTGCTGCCAAGCACAAACTGTCTGTTAAGCCAAAAAACCAGAGGGTGTCAAAGAAGCACAGGCGGCTTGCCCGGGTGCGTAGAGCGTGTCCTGGCTGACCTGACAGGTGCCTTTGCTTGCTGGGCACTAATTCTGCCAAGTGCGTTGGTGTTGGGGTGGAGCCCTAGAAGGATCTAGGTCTCTGCACATTGGGAACTTGAGTGTACCTGCATGTGGGAATCTGCAGGTCTGTCTCCACTGCCCTTTCTGAGATGAGGCTGGTGGACCTCGGAGGGGAAGGTCATGGGTGGAGAGCTTGCCTTTCTAGCCAAAAGGCCTTCAGTCTGATTAGGGTAGACTTCTAAGCACTGGGCTTCAGGGGACATTAATGAAGTTCAAATCTCTCTTATTCTTTTTGTGTGTATATGTTGGGGGAGGCAGATACTGGGGATTGAATTCAGGGGTGCTCTACCTCTGCACTACATCCCCTGCCCTTTTTAAATTTTTTATTATGAGACAAATTTCATGAAATTGCCCAGACTGAGCCTCAGACTTGCCATTGCTCCACCTCAACCTCCCAAGTAGCTGGAATTATAGGCAAGCACCACATGCCTGACCCAAATCTCTTTCTTTGTCCATCTTCCTACTTTTTATTTATTTATTTTTTAGTTTTAGGTGGACACAATATCTTTTATTTTACTTTTATGTGGTGCTGAGAATCGAACCCAGTGCCTCACGCATGCTAGGCGAGCGTGCTACCACTTGAGCCACATCCCCAGTCCCCATCTTCCTACTTTTGGGCTATCTATTTTCCTGGTGTTCATTTATATTAGGAAAAAGGAATTTGGAAATGACAGAAGGGCTAGAGGGTAAACCACAAAGGGGAAGTTTTTCCCCTCCCACAGTTTACTCTTGCTTGGTGTGACCCTTGCCTGATTTCACCTTCACACTATTCCATATTCTATTCATAGAGGAAACTTCCAAGATTCCTAATGGAGGCCTGAAGCCTCGAATAGTTCTGGATACTACATAGGCCATGTTCTTTCTTACACATCCCTATTATACAGTTCATAAATCAGGCAAGAGATTAATTTATAAATTAGGTAAGAGATTAACAACAATTATGACAATTTACTGTAATAAAAGTAAATGTTGGACACAGTGGCAAACACCCATAATCCCAGTTGCTGGGGAGGCTGAGGCAGGAGGATTTACAAATTCAAGTCCAGCCTAGACAACAGTGGTGGCAAGTCGTCATCTGAAAAGCAGAAAGAAAGAAAGAGAGAGAGAGAGATTTAAAATGTGTAAATTATTCCAGAAACTTCCACTTAATATTTGGTTAAGGGCAGGTAACTGAAATCAACCTTGGATAAGGGGAGACTGCTGTGTGAGAACACCTGTCCCTTTTGAGACTGACAGGGCCGCCTGCATTGTGAATAGGAAGGGTAAGGGTTTTCTGCGAGAAAAGTAAAAGACTAATTCTATATTTCCCTTCCCCTGTTAGGATCGACAAAATGAACCAGGTGGCCTTGACAGGCAGCCTTCCCTGGATCAAAATGGACACCCAGGAGAAGACAAGCACATGTGGCTTGAAGAGGAACCGGAGCCGCTGGATTCTGAGGAAGAGAAGAGACACCAAGAAGACTACTGGCGAGAACTAGAGGCCAAGTGCAAGAGGCAAAAGGCAGAAGCAGCAGAGAAGAGACGCCTGGAAGAGCAGAGGCAGCAGGCCCTGGAGAGGAGGCTGTGGGAAGAGAACAGAAGGCAGGAGCTCTTGGAGGAGGAAGGTGATGAAGAGGGGGGCGAAGAGGAGGAACTCCAGATAGAAGTGGAAAAGGAAAGGGGGCCTGGGGAACGGCTGCAGCGGGGCCCAGAAGAGCAAGGTTGCCGAGAACAAGAGCAGAGGGAGCCCGAGGATGCAGAGCGCCTGGAGGCTGAGGAACGGAGTTCCCTGCAGGAAGAGGCCCAGCGGCTGGAAGAGCTGAGGCAGCGCGTGGCCGAGAGGCAGCGTGAGGCCGAGAGGCAGAGGCAGGAAGAAGAAAAGGAGTTGAAGGAACTCCGAAGGCTGGAGGCCCAGCGGCAGGAGGAGGAGGCCAGAAGGCTGGAGGAGCAGAGGCAGCGGGAGGAGCTGGAGGCTCAGAGAAGGCGGGAGCAGGAGGAAAAGAAACGACTGGAGGAGCTCAGACAGCAGCAAGAGGAAGAGAAGCGAGGGCAAGAGTTGATACAGCAGGAGGAAATGGAGGCTCCTGGGCCACAGGAGGCCCCGAAGGAGCTTCCTCCGGAGGAAGAGAGGCAGCCGCAGCTAGAGGCCCGCAGAAGCCCGCTGAGCGCCCTGCAGAATGACTTTGAAGAGAAGCCAGAGGATGGAGAAGACCTAGAACTCAAAAGGCAACGAGAAAGCTCTGAGCAGGAGCAGAAGCAAGAGGCGGAGCAGACAACAGAGCAGCCTGGGAAGAGGGGCGACTTTCGAGAGGATGATCATCGCGTCGTGGAGGACCGGAGAGAATCAGCCAAAATGGACCCTCCCCAGCAGCAAGAGGAGCAGAAGGAAGAAACGCTGCCCCTGGGGGAGAAGAACGAAGCCTCCACTCCAGAAAAGGAGAGAAAGGTGGAGGAGCTCAGGTGGCAGGAGGTGGATGAGAGGCAGACCATGCCCAGGCCCTACACGTTCCAGGTGTCCTCCGGAGGGAGACAGATTCTCTTCCCCAAGGTCAATCTGACCCCCGTGACCCCCGCCAAGGACGCGGGACCCAGCCCTGCTGCGCAGGAACCCAAGGCCCCCAGAGCCAGCGCGGCCTCGCACGCCCTGCCCTCCACCCTGAGCATCCCCCATACCGCCATCCTGGTCACTGGAGCTCAGCTCTGCGGCCCCGCCGTCAACCTGAACCAGATCAAGGACACGGCCTGCAAGTCCCTTCTGGGCCTGTCGGAAGAGAAGAGGCACATGGACGTCCCTACTGTGGAGCAGCCCGTCCGCGCTCCGGGCGAGCCCCGGGGAGGCGGCGGGAAAGCCAGGCCTCCGCAGGAGACCCAAAGCAGCGTGACGGCACTGGCCGAGTGGGCCTCCATTCGGTCCAGGATCCTGAAGAACGCCGACAGCGAGCCGCGCGGCGACAGAGAGCCGGCGAGGCCAGCGGAGGAGCCCCCTCCCAGGGCCCGATCTGACTCCCGCGGGAACCTCCGCAAGACCCCGCCCGTGAACGCCAAGTTCTCCATAATGCCCGCCTGGCAGAAATTCGCAGACGGTGGCACCGAGACCTCCAAACAGAATACGGAGGCAGAGAGCATTAGAAAAAGACCCGGGCCCGGCGAAGAGACAGCGCCCCCGCCCTCGCCTGCTAGTACCCAGGAGTCCCGGAAGGGTCCAGAGAAGCCAGAGGTGCGCCACGAGCCAGCAGACACCACCGAGGGGTGCAAATTTGCCAAAGACCTTCCATCTTTCCTTGTTCCAAGCCTGCCTTCCCCTCCGCAGAAAGCGGTCCACACGGAATCCACAAGCACGGCGCACAGCGAGGCCACAAGTGGTGTAGCCAAGCCAGACCCCGGGATGCCAGGTGCAGAGGAAAAAGCTTCACCTTTTGGAATAAAGCTGAGAAGGACCAACTATTCCTTGCGCTTCCACTGCGACCAACAAGCGGAACAAAAGAAGAAAAAGAGGCACAGCAGCACGAGTGACAGTGGCGATGGGGGGCCTCCTGCCGGGGCCAGCGCCAATGCAGACAAAGAGACAGAGGGTGTAGCCCCCAAGCCTGGCCCATCCCTCCCCCAGGAAAGGAAGCAAGTCCTAGCCCCTCGAAGGGACTCTGCTGAAATCTCTTCCAGCCACTCTCCTCCTACAGCCCAGCCTGGACCCCCACCGTCCAGCAGCCAGGCCCCAGCTCCAGAGCACGACAAGGGAGCAAACAAGATGCCATTAGGGCAGAAACCAGCACTGGCTCCCAAGCCTGCCAGCCAGACCCCGCCGCCATCTCCGCTCTCCAAACTAAGTAGGCCCTACCTGGTAGAGCTGCTGGCTCGCAGAGCTGGGAAGCCAGACTCTGAGCCCAGCGAGCTGTCCAGAGAGGGCCAGGAGAGCCGTGGTACCCAGCCACCATCACCACCACCTCCAGAGGAAAGGAAGGGACAGAAGAGGGAAGAGGATGAGGAAGAGGTGCTGGAGAAGAAACCTTCTTCCCCACCTCTGTCTACCACTCTACTAGAGAGGTCTTCCCAAACGCCTGAGGCAGGGAGGAAAGGTAGGTATTGTAAGGTGGAGCCTTGGTCTCTGTCCAGCTCATATATGCAAGAGCCTCAAATGCTGGCTGGAGTAGCCAGTGACTGATAGAGGCCAGACACCATTCTCCAAGGACACTCACTCATAGTCATAGTGAGACCCTTGTTATTTGATATGAAATATAGTCCTAATTAACAAAGATGTCATTAACCATTCTAAGGGAAATGTGCAGTGACAAAAAAAAAAAAAAAAAAAAGTTTCCCAGACCAGTGTCTGTGCTTTGCCTCTGGGCAGTAGCTGCACTGAGGTGGGAGGTTAGGGGCTTCAGACATCCCATCCTGCCCATGGGTCCCCTCTATGAATGCTCAGCTTTCACTTAATTTTATGTAAAATGCCTTGCAAATGCAGCCTCACATCCTCCCCAAAGTCTTGCCATTGTGAAGTCCTCCTTTAAAGAAATTTCAGAGCACCCTTTACTTCTGGCCAACCATGATGATTCTTTTCTTTCACTTTCTACATATGTATAATTTTTCTTTTTTCTCTGAACTACATCCTTTTTATTTTGAGACAGGGGCTTTCTAAATTGCCAGGGTTGGCCTCGAACTTGCAAACTTCCTGTCTCAGCCTCCTGAGTAGCTGAGATTACAGGCATGCTCCACAGCCTCCAACTCCTAACATCCTTTTTAAATTATCCACTTACCTAGCTTGTTTTTCTGAATGCACATGTTGAGCAGCAGCTTCTAGACTGTTTCTCCCTAATGATTTCTGTTTGTCCTGCTGAATTATGGGTCCATTTTTAGTTTTGACATTAGCTTTTGTGTTGTTACTTTTCTGGCATCTGCAAATTCCCTCTCAAGGCTTGGCCTGTTCTATTGCTCACTTTCTCTCTCCTTGAAGAAAGAAAGTTCATGCTTGCTTCTTTCTTTTAGACATGATCCTTCAATTATTGTAATTTTGTCACCAAAACTATTATTGCCCAGCATTCAGATTTTGGGCTGTCAATATCTGCCAATTGAATTTTTCTTGATTCAGGGGGAAAAAAAAAACATAGAAGCAAGACCCCCCACACCCCTGCCTTCTGGGACCTGCTGCCTCCATTCATGGGTGTTTTGCTATTCAACTTGCTGCCAGGGCTGACCAGATTTGTTTAACTGAACACCCCGTCAGGATAAAAATGTTAAGCATAGACTTCCAATTTATTTGTTGGTCTTATACATGTGGTACCATCATTAACTAGCGCCCCTGGGACATCATGTATATTTGGAATGAAGTTCATTGTAACAACAGTGGATGCTTTGCAAATCATGGTGCCATGTTTTATTTTCTTTGGCCAACTTCTTGTCAAATCTGATCTCTTCATAAAGTGGCAGGCAAAGAGCTCTGCTATTTTCTGATGCTTACATTCTGTAGTAAATTGAATCTAAGGAGTTCTTTTATGCCATTTGTCCATCTTGTAAAAGATCATTTAGTTAAAAGAGATAGGATATTCCATGCACTTATCTAACTATGGAACCTTCCAATATGCTAAAAGCAAGAATTAGTGAGAACAACGATGCCAGTCCTTCCCAACGCCCCCCAACATCCCCCACAATGTAGCCCTCCCAGCTTCCCTCATGATTCTTTAAACATCTATTTGTTATATATAGTCTTTGGCTATGTGGGCTGAGTGAGGATGTCAGTATGTCTGAGTATTAAATATTAGAAAAGCATTTTTTATTTTTATACTTAGATTTTAAAATAGATAAGTAGAAATTCTAAATCATTTCTTTCTTCACTCCAGTGAATTGTCTTGCACATTCCCTAGGGTGTAGGCGCCCTTTTTTGAAGACCACTGCTTTACAAAGAGGTCTGAGTTCTGGAGGCTGAACAGGCCTCCAGAATATGTAGGCCACGCCCTCTGCCACTCCCTCTGCCAAGCCACTGTATTGATTTTGAACCCACCTCATGGGAATGGGTTGTACTATGTGCAGACTTTGATTTCTGGTATCATCTCATTCTAGAATTCCTACCTATTGTGGTATGCAGAACAGATAAATAATTAAGTACACCTTTCTCCAAGAAATAACCTTTGGGAGTAGTGACTTGAACCCTGTAACTGCAGGTATCATTTGCCTGTCCCTTAGAATTGGAAGACAGGATCTTGAGTTCACTGAGTTTAGAATGAAAGACAATAGGTTTAAATTGCAACAAAATCAATTTTTAATTAGAAATTATAAACTTGCTTCCTAAAAAAAAGTATGCGATTGACAGAGAGCATCCCTGTCTGATAAAACCTTGATAAAATGAAAGATTTCATTGTGTTTGGATGATTTCAACAGCAGTCCTTCTTTGGACAGCTTCCAAGTACATTTATTTACACTGTTCCTGAGACGCTCACCAGCACTTATGTTAGATAGTCTTGGCTCTGTTTTGTAGATGTGGATACCAGTATCTGTAAAGTTGGGTGTTTTCCTGGCGTCCACAGTGGTAACACCAGCATGAGTTCTTTCCTACGATAAATTTTCTCCCCGTCACTCTACAGCTGCCCCTGGTAATCCTCACCTGGCATTTGTAAAATTCTGAAAGCCTTGGAACACTTTTTACAGCTAGGGATGGTGGCACATACCTGTTATCCCAGCAACTTGAGAAGTTGAGGCAGGAGGAATGCAAGTTCAAGGCCAGCCTGGGCAATTTACTGACACCCTATTTCAAAATAAAATTTTAAAAATGGGCTGTAGCTGTAGCTCAGTGATAGAGAACTAAACTCAGTTTCAAGCACTGAGAAAAAAAATTGTCGATCTGTAGGAGTTGCTTTTTTGTTTCGTTTTTTAGGGTTTTTTTTTGTAGTTTCAGTCCCTTTTCTATTATTAAAAATCCCTCATTTTCAGTAACGATAGCCTCATGTTAGTAACTAATAAGTTCCATCCAGAGTAATAATAATAAAAAGGTTTTTTTCAATTAAAATGTCTCCCTTCTGGGACTTGGGATGTGGCTCAAGTGGTAGCGCACTCACTTAGCATGCGTGAGGCACTGGGTTCCATCCTCAGCACCACATTAAAAAAATAAAGATATTGTGTCCACCTTAAAAAAAAAAAAAAACTAAAAAATAAATATTAAGAAAAAAATGTCTCCCTTCTCCCACCTGGCCTGCTTAGGTCTGAAATCCCTTAAGTGGGGATGTGGACATGGCCAATGCTCCCTTTGCTTTCATCCCAGAAACTGGCTCTGGAGCTAGAGGAAAGGAAGGGAGAGAGGTGAAACATTTTGAGGTTCATTCTTCTTGGGTGCAGTGCTATTTCTTCTGTGGGTTCCTCAGATGCCTCGCCTGTCTCCCTCCACTTTTTCTCCTTCTCTGCAATGCTCTTACTATCAGTAGATCTCCTCCAGTCTCCTCTTCCCCCTGCGCCCTGGTTCTCAATCCATCTGCCCATCTCTGTCTTATAGCCCACCTGTGGACCCCAGACACCACTCACACAGCCTTTGCCCCAGCATACACTCTTCTCCATCTGCCAAGAGGAAGACACTTTTATTCTTCTTCCCATTTTTTGAGAAAGAGAAGCACTTTTATGGATATATGATTGGGGAGAAACATTGTGAGTCCAAGGCTAGCTTCATCCAAACCACAGATTCTGTATCCCTAATACACCCCACCATCACAGAACTGCAGCCACCATCTCTCCTCCACCTCTGACCCCAACCAGAGGTTTGGGGTTTTTTTTTTTTTTCATTTTAGTCAATTATAAATTTATTCGATTATATTTTGAAGGCATTTTTGACCCTTATGATAAGCACCAGTCAATGTTTTTGGCAGGCTGCTTCAGACTGAAATTTTAGTTCAAAATTCTCTTTTGTATAATAGCTTTATATGAAAATCATTTAGGTCTTGGCAGTTTGGTTAGAAGTTTTACAAACAAGTGCTCCACAATTCTTGGGTAGGAAGCAGGAACTCATCAGGTTAGTTCCAGTATACGTAAACAACTCAGTACCGAAGAAGCTTGAGGGGCAAAGACTTTTTTCAAATTTTCCAGTTAACTGAAAAATTATCAAAAATCTCCTTTCAATTTCACTTTTTTATTTTGTTTTTAAACCTTCTGATTTAAATGTTTTTTTTCTTTTTTTTTTTTAGTTGTAGTTGGACACAATATCTTTTTTATTTATTTTTATGTGGTGCCTCAAACATGCTAGGCAAGTGCTCTACCACTGAGCCACAACCTCAGCCCTGTTTTGTTTTTCTTTCTTGTGCCAGATTATACCTGAATCTTTATTTGATGATTAGGGACATGCAATGTGCAAGTTTCATTATGAGGATAAATTATCTATGTACAGCCTTATAGAAGATGGAAAATTAAGCAGGGGGCCTGAGTTTGTAGCTCAGTGGTAGAGCGCTTACGTAGCATATGCAAGGCTCTGGGTTCTATCCCCAGTCCCAAAAAGTAAAAGGAAAATTAATTAGAATCTGCTTTTATTGCCTTCATTATTGTTGTTTAAATTCCTCATTGAAACTTTCTAATTTGTTTTCTCATCATTTGATCTTTGTCCTCACCCCGGAGCACAATATAAAAAAGTCAGTTGACCAAGAGCTCTGGTGTCAAGATTCTGGACTATCAAAGAGTAAACTTCTGTTGGATTACAAAAGAACAGGACTAGAATAAGCCCCTTTCCTTTGACTTGGTAAAGAATCCAATTCAAGAATGATTATCTCTGTACTTTTTACTTGAGAGTAAAGAATAGGAACCTTTGTCTCATAGACATAAGTAATAGTAACAGCTCATTTTTGTAGAGTGACAACTGTATGCCAAGCATTGTTCTGAATATTCCGATCACCAATATTGTTCCAAATATCCTGATCAGATAAGGCATGTGCTATTATTTTCATTTTATTTATTAGAGAACTAAAGGTTAAGTAGCTCTTCTACAGTCACAAGATCAAAGCCAGATCTGCCCAGTGTCAGAGCCCCATACTTACTCTGATACCAACCACCTGCCAGGTGTGAACCCCCCATTGCAGTGACTGGAAGTCAGAAGACTCAGGCACAACTGGTTTACTGTGGATGCTGGTACTCCCAGCGGACAGATGAGGGCATCAGACCAAAATCATGGGATTCTCACTGTGTTCCTCAGAGCCTTGCTGCCCTCAGCAGCTCCTGAGGCAGAGCAGTACCTGTTTATCTTTCAAACATTGGGGTTCCACATAGAATGTTATCTGCAAGAGTGGTGTGCAGGGACATGGCTATTGCTAAAAAATAAATTTCATTAAAGCAGTGAATTCAAAGAAAAACAACCTTGAGCCATATAACCGTCTTGGTCTCTGTAGACAAGAGATTTGATGACACTGAAAATTTAATTTTCTTGCAAAGTAGCTTCTTCCATGTCTAAGGAAGAGAAATGACCCTTTTTCTATTGATCAAAGATGATACTTTCCCACCCAGTGGAGGCCCTCAGGCAACAGCACAGATTTGTGTGAAGAAGGAATATTTCCTAGGCTTATTAATATGCCACAAGACTTAGGGGGTAAGGCACTGAGACAAGTTAGCAGTTAATTTCACAGCAAACCTCTTTTGTCTTTTTCCCTACAGAGAAGCCGGTGCTTCAGAGTAGGCATTCTTTAGATGGCTCCAAAATTACAGAGAAAGTTGAAACTGCCCAGCCACTGTGGATAACGTTAGCACTACAAAAGCAAAAGGGGTTTCGTGAGCAGCAAGCAACCCGAGAGGAGAGAAAGCAAGCCCGAGAAGCCAAACAGGCAGAAAAGCTCTCCAAAGAAAACGTGAGTAGCCTGCTCCACTGCTTTAATTTTGTTAGTCTAAGTTTGACTCTCTTTTAAGTCACAAGGACTAAAGAAAGAAAGGGAGACAGACAGACAGACAGGAAGAGAAATTATAGGAGAGGATGAGAGAGTTTATAGAAAGCAGAGTGGTAAATAAATTGACCACTTTTAAAATGGGAGACCAGCCAATCATGGTGGCATACACCTGTAATCCTAGTTACTTGGGAGGCTGAGGCAAGATGATTGCAAGTTCAAGCCCAGTACCACAAGAAAGAAGAAAAGAGAGGAGAGAGAGGAGGGAAGTGGGCATGGAAGGGGAGGGGATGCGGAGAGGAAGGAAGAATTGAAGGATCAAAGGATTGATCTGAGATGGTATATACCTCGTCGTGATCCACACACAACATAGGTACAGTAGTTCTCCTTATCTGAGGATTCATTTTTCATGGTTACTTGAGGTCAACCGTGGTCCCCAAAATATTAATAGGAAATTCCAGAAATAACAATTTATGAGTTTTAAATTTATGAGTTTTAATAGTGTGATAAAATCTCATGCCATCCCATTCCATCCTTTGGGACATGAATCACCCCTTTGTCCAGTGTTTCCACACTGTATGTACTACCTCCCTGTTGGTTACTTGGTAGCCATCTTGGTTATCAGATCAACTGTCACAGGATCACAGTGATTGTGTTCGTTTTACTTAAGAATGGCCATAGGGGCTGGGGCTGTAGCTCAGTGGCAGAGCACTTGCCTAACATGCGTGAGGCACTTGGTTTGATCCTTAGCACTGCAAAAACAAGAATAAAATAAAATAAAGGCATGCCATCCATCTACATTGACAAAAAAAAAAATGGCCATAAAACATAAGAGAAGTGATATTGGCAATTTGAATATGCCAAAGTGAAACTGTGGAGTATTTTCTTGGTGTGTAAAAATGAAAGTTCTTGACAATATGAAATATATCAACATTGCTAACATCTAAGGTAAGAACATAATATAGTATATGAAGGGTTCATTACTGTCCATGATTTCTGCAATCTACAGGGGTCTTAGAATAGATCCCTCATGGATAAGGGGAGAGTACTTTTATGAGAAATATGAAAATGATTTTATTTGAGCAGCAGTCAGAGAGCAAATCCAGAGCCTGTTCTGTAACCTGATTTTACAGTCAGCTTGATGGGGCTTTTCTGGAGAGTGACTTTCCTTCCTTGGTACATGGGCGCTGAGCTGCTCCCTCACTGGGGGCCAGGCTTGAGCACACATTGCTCACAAGTGTGCCCAGCCCTTCCTATGGGAACAGGTCAAGGCTGGCAGGTGGAACAGGACTTGAGGCTCTCCAGTTCAGGCTTTTCCACGTCACAGGTTGAAAACATGCTTTCCCTGTCTCTGCCCACTCAGGTCAGTGTGAGCCCGCAGCCTGGAAGCGGCAGTGTCAGCAGAGCAGGTTCCCTGCACAAATCCACAGCTCAGCCAGAAGAGAAGAAGCCTGAGACTGCAGTGTCCAGGCTCGAGCGCAGAGAACAACTGAAAAAGGCCAACACTCTCCCTACGTCTGTGACAGGTAGGGAGCTGGTCCATTCCTGTTTGACTCTGGTTGCATGTTTCTCTTAGGACACGCTTAATTTCCTATAGTGTTCTCACTAGCACAGCACTTTGGGCATCACAGAATGATGTCTAGAACCCCATTCATAAACTTGCATATTAATAAAGCTCATCCAATAAAGACCACCAGGAACTTGCCTGTTATCAGTGGTATGATGATAAATGTTTAGCCATCAGCTCTTCTGGGCGTGGAGAAACCTCTTTGTAGCATTTGCCATTTTCCATGGTGTAAGTTCTTCCACTGTGGCCAATTTGAAGCTACTAATGTGACATTAACTGGTCAACTGACCTAATTTTTTTTTTTGGTGGAGGCATCAGGAATTGAACCCAAAGTGCCGGGGATGTGGCTTAGTGCTAAAATGCCCCTGGGAATCCCCAGTATCCCCAGAAAAAGAAAAAAAAAGGTAAATGTGTGAAATCTCATATCTAAAATCTCCTACCTTGGAGCTCTACACCTTAGTTGGAAGTGGAAACTGCTTCTTTGTGTCCTAGTGACCCATGTGGCTCAGATGCTCCAGGCAAAACTATGATGGTCCCTTCTCACTGCTGTGATTTTAAACAGCATTTCTTATAGTCTAAGGTTTGCAGTTAAGTTTCTCAGCTGTGTCCTTGATGTCCTTGATGTTAATTAACAACAGGAGTTTTGGGTTTGTTTGTTTGTCTAGTATATATGCTGCCAAAGCAATAACAATTTTCATATTTTCCTAACACATAAAAGACACTTTTTAAAAAAAAATCTTTATTCTATTAAAAGATAAAATGATCCAATAGTTTCCACTGTTTTCTTATTACAAATCACATGGAAGATAGATGAATCTGAACATGTTTCCTCCCAGGAGTTAACATAGCATCTGTTTTCCCTATTTGGCAGCAATGTTGCCCAAAGAGCATCTGTCTTAGTCTATTTTCTGCTGCTGTAACAAAATACCTGAAACTTCATAGTTAATAAAGAGGGTCTTTTTTTTTTTTTTTTTTTTTTTTTAAAGCTCATAGATCAGGAAATCCAAGATTAGGCAGCTGCATCTGGTGAGGGCCTTTTGCTATTAAGGTAGAAAGAGGATGGGCAAGCCGAGCATGGTGGCACACACTTGTAATCCCAGCAGCTCGGGAAGCTAAGGAAGGAAGATTGAGAGTTCAAAGCCAGCCTCAGCAACTTAGTGAGACCCTCAGCAACTAAGCAAGACCCTGTCTCTAAATAAAATTTTAAAAAGGGCTGAGGACATGGTTTAATGGTTGAGTGCCCCTGGGTTAAATCTCCAGTACCAAAAAAAAGAAAGAAAGAAAGAAAATGGATGGGCAAGTGAGTGGAAAAGAGAAAAGGGAGGTGAATTTATGTGCTAGCTAACCTATTCATGTAATTAAAACATTCATCATCTATTCAGAAGGCTTGCCCCCATGACCCAAGAACCACTTTCCAACACTGTCACATTGAGGAATTAAGTTTCCAAAAGATGAGCTTTTGGGGGTCATACTCAAACTGTAGCAGTGTCCCAACCACCAGGCCAGGCTTCTCTCTGGTTACCTGGTACCTGAGATCTGGCTAATAAAGAGGTCTCAATATTAAACATGTATTTACCACTTGGTGAGATGGGGGGGTGCTGTTTGAAAAAACATTTTAGAACACTGTAATTTCTCTAGAAACTCCATAGGCATTATCATTGGCTTTTACATATAGGAATTAAAGATAGGTAGGATGGCAGCGGGAAGGGAAAGAGGGAATTTCTTTCAAAATAAAATAAAAGCTCTGAAGTTGAAGAGCGCATACCTTTCCCTGATTGGAAGTACCAAAGGGATATCACAACTCAACAGTGGCTCCAGTTTAATGAAACAGACATTTTCTGAAGTATTTTTCTTTCAATCACTATTGCCTGAGTTCTAGAAGCATATGTGTAGGCAATGGGGTGGGGGCAGGGGCAGTCACTAAATGTGAACCAAAGAGAAGATGTGAACCCTCTCACTTTCTCACAAAACTCTCTCACAGAAGCCTGTAAGCTCTGGTAAAGATGTGAGAGCAGCTGGGGTTGTGGCTCAGTGGTAGAGCATTTGCCTTGCACATGTGAGGCACTGGGTTCGATCCTCAGCACCACAGAAAATAAATAAATAAAGGTAGTGTTCATCTACTACTAAAAAAAAAGAAGAAGAAGTGAGAGAATGCAAAAGAATTCCTAAAAGACTGCAAGTCACAAGAGCTGGCAGGATTCTTGAGACTCAGATGGAGGGACCCAGGGGATCTTTTGTGGAGGAGGCAGCTATTAACCCTGCCAGATTGATGGATTCAAACTGCTTTGATCTTTTTCTTTATGGGATTGACTGGTTGTATAACAGGAATTACAAAATTTGCCTTTATTTCTTGTATTCATGCAAGCATAGCTATTGTGTACAGAAAACTAGGCTTCTAGAAATCCACTGAAATTTGAACTTACTGTACTGTGATCACTGTAACTCTCTAAGCAAGTTATAACCACATAGCTTGCTTTCCCCAGATCTTCTCACTGAAGCCCACCTAGGAACTTGCCTCTCTTGTGTTTCAGTTTTCTTCATCATACCAATAATTCAAAATGTGCTTCTGCAGTAAGAGATGGGGAGATGTGGGCTACAAAATCTCATTTAGGGCTGGGATTGTGGCTCAGCGGTAGAGTGCTTGCCTAGCACATGCAAGGCCCTGGGTTCGATCCTCAGCACCACATAAAAATAAATAAAATATTGTGTCCAACTGCAACTAAAAAATATATATTTTAAAAATTTTTTCATTTAGATAAGATACATATTTGTGCAACATGGTGCCTATGATTAATAAGAATCTATTCTTGAAAAATGCTAACAGTAAATTTTAAATGTACTCAGCACAAAAAGGTAACTTTGTGAAAGAATGCATGTTAATTAGCTAGATTTTGCCATCCCACAATGTGTATATATATTTAAAACATTATGGTATACACAGTAACTACATATAATTCTGTTAATTAAAAATTTTTTTTTAAATGCGGTTCTGACTTATTCCTTTCTCTTTTTGCTTCCAAACAAAATGTAGTGGAGATCTCAGACTCAGCTCCCCCAGCACCACTAGTGAAAGAAGTCACCAAGAGATTCTCCACCCCAGATGCTGCCCCTGTGTCCACGGAGCCAGCCTGGCTGGCTTTGGCCAAAAGAAAAGCGAAGGCCTGGAGCGACTGTCCACAGATTATTAAGTAAAAAGTGACTCTTACCCATTCCTATTGCCTGTTATTGGCTCCTCTCTTGCCCTTTTTATTTATTTATTTTTTATATGAGGTAAAGAAACCAAGTTAGGGAAAAGAAGCATGTTTTATAGGTTCTATAATAATGTTTAGAAACTGAACTGGTGGTGTTCATTGTAAAGAGTGGATTTGCACAACCCTAGGTCCTGGTGCCTTGAGCTCCCCCTAATTCTCAAGAGTCAATTCCGTCCAAGGGACCACATGAAGCAAAATCTCCAAACTAATAGCTCCTCTTGAAAGCCTACCGTGCTCATCCCATGGTCCTTCTACACGTGTACACCCACACACCATTCAGGACATGTACTTTTGCCAACCTTTGTGATGGTTTTTTGATTCTCTACCCTTAATTTCTTCTATCCAAAACATGAATGTTACCATATATTTGGGTGCATCTACTCTTTTTACAACAATGATAAAAGGATTTTATGTAAGTTAGAAAAAGAATGCCTATCCTCCTGAATGCAGTAACTGGGAATCACAAGGAGCAGTCTGCCTCCCAATTCTGTGCCCATGTCCAGTTTTCATGAATTCTCCTGCCCCAAATCCATTCACTCTTCTAGCTCACTGTGGACCCACAATACCATCAATACAGTGTGAGTCTCTGTCATACTAGTACCCTCAAGGACATGTGAAACATGCGGCCCAGTTGGCTCCTAGGGAACATTTTTTTATTTAATGTGGCAAAGAAAGGAGATTCTATATTAATTACAAGTTCTTGTTCTAGCTCTGAGACTCTCTACCTAGAGCATATGGGTCATAAGGTATCCAGGCTACATCCCAGGCCTACTGAATCAATCCTGTGAGACCAGGGCCAGGAATGTACATGCTGGCAAGAATTCTTGAGGTGATGCTAATGTATCTAATGTTATGAACCTTGGGATTCACTTATTCTAATGTAGTCTCATTTTCTAGACTCTGAAGGGGCAGCTCATTCAAACAAAAGTGAGATAATAATAATAAACAGCTACCTAAACCAGCCATTAATTAGAAAGATACGTCTGGCTATTGACATTACATGTCTCTGAAGATTCCCTTTGGTCTTTAGGGGAAAATTGCAGAAAGCCAAGATTTGAAGCCTTTGTACTAAGAATTTCCTGCAGGAATTTTTTTTTTCTTTACTATAATTGAACAATTCATACTTAGAGTCAAATGTTCAGTAGCATTTAAAATTCAGAGTATTCACCTTGCTACCTTTAAAAAACATCTCAGAGTTTTAAGTGGCCTTGTTATTATCATACACATGTGCATACTAAAAAAGGATTTTGCAGTCTCAAAGCCACACATATTTATTTTTATTTCCCTAAATTTGCTTTACACAGAACACAAACATACCAGCAAATTCTTTCCCACCACATACTGTGACACTAACTTTATATTTCATGGTATTGGCATATTCCCCTTTTCATAGATTCTTACTCCAAAATGTAGGTGCAAATTCTTGGCCCAGTGCAGGGGGAATTACATCCATTTTCCTCTCCTACAAAAACATTTTATAGTATTCATTATTACTTTTCTAGTATACATTATTACTTTTACTCAATATGCAATGTGCTGTCCTTAAAGAAAGAATGACAGCAAAGTTATTCACCATATTGAAAGCACTTTCTTTCTAGAAACAATGGCTCAGCTTCACTGTAGCAGCTGGCATGTGTGGCCAAATGGATAGTTGTTCTCTTACAAATTGGATTTAATAGTATATATACTGGACCTTCAAACTGTTAAGAATCAATGTAACATTTTTTTATTGCTACTGGAAGCAATTAATATCCCACTGCACGTTTTCCATGCTGATGCTCATTTCTAAGTCTTAAGTGTAGGCATTTGTTAGTTCAATGAATTCCTCACTGATAAAACACTTTTTAATGGGAATTGCCACCTAGAACCCTGGAATTATAGTGCTAAGGTAATTCTTCTGAATTGACTTTTTCTTTCATCTTATCAGCTTTGGACAATATCACAGTAATGGCAGGGAACAGATGAGGAAATAAGATCATTAACAAAGAATGGAAGATTAGTCAAGTCTGTACTGGCTCAGGTCTCATACCAAGTAGGAGAAATGCCTGAGTTAAAAATGCTCCATCTATGTTTTTTTAAGAGTCTACTGGGGTAAAGGCAGTCATCATATTTATTTCTAACAACTTCTAAAAGATACATGTTTAACATTTCATTTACACATCACCCCAAATTTGCACTAAATACCAATGAAGTGTTATTTTGATTTAGTTGTGTTGTAGTCTTTTCTGAGCAACAAAACTATAGGAAAATTCTGTAAAACCATATAAAGAGCTTAAGAGTTGTTTTTTTTTTTTTTTTTTTAATGGATGATTGTTAAATACATGAGGTTTTTGTTTTGAATCTGGCAAAATTATAGATGATTAACCTCTGGTTCATAGACTTATATGTAAAACTAGAGTTTTTTGTTTACTTTTTTAATTTTTCAAGTGCAATTGTTTCTTACAAATATTATTACTATTAAATTATCAGTTTAGCCAGTTATCTGCAAATGTATAGTATGTATTGTCTCTTCTTGTGACATTTAGTTTAATTGCTTATTTTAAAGCAGAATATTAGCTACAAGTGTCTTGCAATATTTTTACCAACAATAAAGCTAAGTAGAGACTTAATGAAAATACCTTAGTGTGATTTTAATATTATTTTGGGATTTTGGTTGTATAAAGTTTTAATGTAAAATGTCCATTATTGAAGGGGAAAAGATCTTTCAATAAAAAATACCAACAAGATCTTTGGCACTGATGGATTTCCTTTTTAAACTGAAGTTTATACTTATTTGATGACCATCTACAAGCAGTCTCAATTACAGAGCTATTGGGAAAAAGAATTTCAAAGTGTTTTATATAGTACTTTATTATACTTTTCCTAGGTATTTTGGAGAAAATAATTAACAGGGACAAATGTTTGTTTCAATCCTGAATGACTTGAGTCTCAAGACAAAATAATCCTATAGCCTCCTTACAGTGCAGACCATGTCCAGACAGGTCAGCTTTAGTCAAGAGCCTGTGACAGTGCAGCTGGGGCTGACTCACAGGGCTGGACCAGGGTGAAGTAAGGTCAATCAGGCACTTGCCTCAGGTGCCAAAAAACTCAGTAACTAGAGAATTTTATTTTAATGCAATATTTTAAAAAATCAAAATGCAAAAAAAAAAATTTTTAAATACCACAGTGGAAAAAAGTCCAAAATTTTAAGTCAAGTCAGGTTCAGGAGTACTGATTTTCCTTTTGCTGCAGGCTCCAGCGTGGCCCATCAGGGCACCCCACTCTCAGCCTTGCTCAACCCAAATGTGCACAAGAACTCCAAGTGATTAAGTGATTAAGGCTTGAGATACACTGATCTAAAAGGTGAAGACAGGTCTTTTAGACAGCCAACACTAACATCCCCTGCCTGGGGCACTGCTCAAGTAATGGGTCTTGATGGGAGCACCCACTTCCTACCACAGATGTGCTTTACTATACTGCTTTGAGGGTGTGAAACTTGTTTCACTTTAAATTGGAAAAGAATGAATTGGGACCAACTGAACAAAAGATGGAAGAACTGTGAAGAAGCCTGTGGTGATGCCAGTCATGGGGAGCAATTCCCAGTATTAATGGAGGGAACCAAAAGTGGAACATTTAGAACTTAAAAGGATAGCAACCAACTTGTGAAGAATTTGAATAGGGCTCAAGCTATGTAGCCAGGAATGCCTAAAATCACCATAGATCAATTTGAAACTACACAGTGTATGTGGGGTGAGGGGTGTGTTTGTGTGTGTGTATAAATTCTACATTGGTACTTTAGTTCACTTAAAAAATACCAATTATGAGGATGTAGTTCAGTAGTAGAGTGGTTGCCAACCTGGTCTGATCCCCAGCTACACACATACACACACACCAACAACAAAAAGGAACTTAATTTGACAGCTCCTACCTTTGAAAAGCTTTTGCTGTAAATCTCAGTGTAAATAAGTGAATGGTGAATTGCATCACTGTTTGTTTCTAACCCATTGAGTTATATTTTGATATTTTTTTCCCACAGAGGTCTTTTCTTAAAACCCAAACTCTTTTAGGGTTCTCTACAGAAATATCACCAACAGGACTTAAAAAAAAAATGTGTGTGCATGTATATGTGTGTGTGTGTGTATTTATATATGTATGTATATACATGTATTTATATGTGTGTGTGTGTATATATATATATATATATATATATATAAAGACTTCCTATACACAACATATAAAATATGTAGCACTAATGTGAGTTCTCCACAGAAACATAACCAATAGGAGATAGGGAGAGATCGATTAATGGAATATGGGAATTAACTCATCTGACTATAGAGGCTGAGAAGTCCCACCATCTACTGTTTACAAGTTGCAGACCCAGGAAAGCATGTGATATAATTCAGTCCAAATCCAAAAACCTCAGAACACAGGGGCCTGAGAAGCTAGGAGAGGTAGTAGTTGCTGGTGTAGGTCCCATAGTCCAAAAGCGCCCAAATCAAGAGCTCTGTGTCTAAGGGCAGGAAAGATGGTTACTCCAGCTCAAGAAGAGAATCTGTCCTTTTTCTGTCCTTCTGTTATATTTAGGCCCTTATCAGATTGGATAATGCCCACCCACAGTGGTCCTTGGTGAAGACAGACCTTCACTCAAGTTTATTGCTTCAATTTCAAATTTTAATCTGTTCTAAAAACACCTTCACAGGCACACCCAGAAATAGTGTTTTAACAACTATCTGTCCATCTGTCTTAGTCCGTTTTCTATTATAACTGAATGCCACATTACTACAGACTAGTTATTTTGCTCTTAGTTCTGAAAGCTGAAGTTTAAGAGCAGTAGCTGCATCTGACAAGGTTCTTTTTGTTGGAGGGGATTCTCTGCAGAGTCCCAAGCCTGTACAAGGCATCACATGTCAAGACAATGTCCTCGCTCAGGTCTCTTCTTATTATAAGAAGACACAGTCC